TTTTCGGGACTGAGACCAAAAAAAGTTGGTTTCACGGGGCTCTAGAACTGACCCGTCATAACAATTTTTTCCCTGAGCCACAGATTAATTTGATTACACACAAAACTTTTAGAATATTTTGCTGTTCTTCTCTCTTCGATTACAGAGCCCACGTGATTACTACTTATTGAGAGGGAAACAAAGAATAAGACGAAGAAAGCGTTTTGAATCTATCTGGATTGGAAAAAGACTTTCAGAACATAGTGTGTCGACAAACTGAAGACTAGAGCGGAGTGAACGCGCACCCCTGTTTTTTGATAAGGGCACCAGGGGAAAGAATATGAACTTACGCTGGCAAAGTCGGAGCAGAACCCAAATTTATCTCTTAAAAAACGTTACCAGTTCATTTTTCGAGAAAATCGACAAAAAATTTTGAAAAAACAGTAAAACTATTTTTTACACCCTTGATTCGATACTCGATTCGATATGTGGACGCCTCTGCTGAAGACATGTTTTTAATTTCATAAAGCCAAGAAGTTTGTTATCGAAGAACTTAAATAAAACAAAGCGACATCTCATTTTGAAGAAAATTTCATGTTCTCGAAGTTGAGTTTCAAAAGACATAGCTATAGCCTTAACTATCTTAACTCAGTCAGACCGTTTTGTGTTGGACGGGAAAAGCGGTCAGCAGCGAACTGTTGCCTCAAAATTGTTGAAAAAACGATCGACAGCGGCCTCGAAAGTATTGTCGATTTTGTTACTTCAAAAAATGCAAATTACTCAATGACAGCACAATCATCACTTTCTTATGTTGACCATCTAATTTGTAACGAAACAGAAGCAAAAAATGTATCCACAAAGAATGAGCATATGCTGAAAAAATGATCAGTTAATCACTTTACTAAGAAAGAGTGAATCATTAGAGAATATTTTTGATGGACAAGTTAGAGTGCTATTCTCAATCGGAAACTCGATGATACAAATTGTAAGGAACTCGAACTGGTCGCAAAGATATTAGTGGAACTGGGTGTACGAAAAACGGTTACAATTCATTTCGATAATGGAGCTGTCTGTGTAGAAGTCAGTAATACACAAAGGTTTTGTCGTATCCGTCGTCAAGGGTTAGTTATTTTGCCTAATGGATACATAAAGTAATTGTTCCGACAGTATATGAGCAAAATACTTCAACCTAGATGAATAATTTATTTGAACAAGTTGAAAAATGCGACGAACAAATGGGAAGCTAAATAAAAGTGATTCAGTAATATTGGATTAATCTGGAAAGGTGCGGTGGTGTACGTTGATTAACGATGTCTAATAAATATACAACTGATAAGTTAAAAAGCAATATAGTGGACTCTACATTAATTTTCTCCATAAGTTTCAAAGACGTTCTCAGTACAGTGCATTTTTGAGTGGGCCATTTCTACTCTATAATAATGTGTGGAACCCCACGCAGGAGTTAGACCAGTACAAGACGAAAAAAGTTGCCTGTTCTTCTGAAAACGAATTTCGGTTTCTTCATCTCATTTTGTCTTCGTAGAACTGCGCGGTTAACCGATGCAGCTCATTCACCCACTGATTTGAGAACGACTCATGTATATATAACATCTGATGTTTTTCCCTCTGAAAAAAAAATTTTTTTTTCTATATCACAGGGCAAATAAAAGTTAGTCCACGTCTCCGGTGAATTCTTTATGTATAATTCTTCGGTGCTGGCGATGCATTCGCAGCCGCAATTATTTATGGCATCCATGAAAATATATCTATAGAAGAGCGTCTACGACTAGCCGTTTGTGTTGCTGCTACGTGTCTGAGTGATATAACTCCCAGTGATGGCGTTAAGCAATTGAATGATTGTATGAAATTAGAAAGTTTTGGTTTTAGGTCATTATGTGATTGACTAATCTTCTAAAGCAAACACCATGTATCTCTGGTTTTTTTTGTCTATAAATGTCTTATCTTCAGAGCATACCAAAAGATTATGCGGAACCAGAAAGCTATTAGACATAATATCTCAGAATTTTTTGTGAAACTACTCTGTATACAAAAATAATGGACGAGTTTTTAACTTCAGGTCGAGATTAAGTGTAATATACTACTTATTAATTACAATATTTCCCCTGGGTCTTTAAAAGGACTTAGCCAGGATTTTGGGTCACTAAGTAGTATATCGTAATTATATTATGATACGTGCGGGTTCTCGCTGTTGGATTGATACGCGAGTTGTACTGTGATTGAAATTGTTCAAACTTCAGTTAATTCTAAAGTATTCATTTCCATAAAAGTACTCTTATTGCTGCTACTCTTTCATAATTTATTAAGAATAATAAAGTTTAGACCAGAGACTGATTAATTTCTAGGAGTTAACTAAAATTTCGAAGACGTTAAGTAATATATCTAGGCATTTATATAATTACAGCCCATTATTACACTGGCGAATAAATACTGAGCAGATAAAAAACAGCAGCACATTCCCTTACCCTACGCACAATTATCGGCTTTGTTTCACAAAAGGAACTATTTTCTAATTCAACTTCATTCAAACTATAGTGTAGCAACACAAATATAAGAAATGGAATAACTCGATGTAGTTGTGACTGGATGTTTCTTTTGGTTAGAAAACTCTTGAGAGGTTCACAAGATAAGAGTCGTTTCGCATTAAAACCCTAGGCCTATGCTGACAAACTTTTTCTTCTTTTTTGAAAGATCATGTTTTAATAGCAAATGAAAATAACTGCAGATACAAAAACCGCGTGCCCTTTGGTTTTGTAAAAATTTTTTTAGAAATAACTTTAACGCCTTAAAATCCATTTTCGTGAAGAAAAACGAAAAAGATTTGGTGTCTTACTAGAACAAGAATGCGTTTTTCTGGCAATGGAAGGTGTTTCTTTTCGATGTCTATCACAGAATATGTTCTCATCGCGTTTCTGAATTTTACGCAAAAACATTTGATGAAATCGAAGAAACGCGGTGCTTTTACAATTATATGTTTTTGAAAAACAAATTTTTAGACACTTCTAAGAAATTTGAAGATTCGAGGGCAAGCGTTACCGCTATTCGGACCCAAAACTCGATGATAGTTCCAAATCTAGCTACAGGTTCTTCCATAAAGATTAAGGTGAAGAGTTAGTTTAGAGGCGATTTTTTTAAATAAAAACTTCAAGGTACTAAGTCCGCGTGCCTGTTTTAAGATACGCATTTTTTCAGTTTCGTTTTTAAAATTTTTTTGTGTAAATTTAAAAAGCCCATTGAATTTGTTTTCGACAAAAAAAGCCGAAAAACCATACCTTAGACATTTTTAGCACTCGAAAAATGCTAAAAGCTTTATGCTCGTCCGTTTAAAGCTATTGTATCAAAGTTGGTTTTTAATTTAAGCAAAGCAGTTTCATGCAAAACAGAATTTTTAGAGTGTCAGAAATGTCAAAGCCGCTAGTCAGAAACCGTAATCTTTTCGCTTCTACTACTGTCCAAATCGTGTGTTGTTTTTTATTGCTATTCCGCAAAATAAATAAACGCTTTTTTCCGTTTTTTCCTATAAAGAGGTAAGTAGACTGGCTTTTTTTTCAAAAAACTCAAATTTAGAATTTTTTTTAACAGATTACGATAACTTCGAAAGGAAAAGTCAACATTTGGGATGCAATATATAGCACATTCGATAATAGTTGTCAGAGAGCTTCTTACGATAAGGAAAATTTGTTTGCAGTAGCGTAATTGCTGTTGATTTCAAAAATGAAAAAACCTATCGCATTCGCTAATACATTTATTGCTGCTGGTTCTTGTGAGTGAAACTTCCTTTTTTGCCTGAAGATCAGAAGTTTTCATGGGTCCATTCCGCTATGAGTAAACAGCTCGGTGTCTTAGTCAAACGATATTAAAATTTTTCTTTCGAACGACAATGATACTTTTACCTATAAGAATGAGGTAGTTAAACGACTTTACAATCTTTTACAATAACTAATAAAATTTAAGAATAGAATAATCTCTTTTTTTCAGTTTTTTAAATGATTCTGGTGAGTTACGTGCAATAGGTTGTCGAGAGCTATAAGACGTCTTCTTCGAAGGAATTGTTTGGTCTAGAACGCTAGAGTGCCGTCTTGAAAAATTAAAAGTTAACAAAAAAAAGAGGTTATCCATACACTTAAGATTAAATCTATAATTGTTTTTAGAAATCAGAGAAACAACCATACACACACTTCATCGTTAGCACAAATCCTCTTTATTTTTATTTTTCAGTTCGTTTGACGTTTACAAATAAAAATTGTAACATGAAAAGACTGCTGCAAAAAAAATTTGAACCTTGAAAAGAATTTCCATACATTTTGTTTTTCACTTTTTTTCTCCTTCTCTTACTTTTTTCTCAAGAAAAATAACAAACTTCTTTATATTTGTGTAATTCCAAGCTGAAGTAAAATTTCTGTGGAAATCTTTCAAAAAATTTCATTCCACAAACTCGTTGTTTTCTCCCGATGTTGTCAAGTCATGTGTACATATTTCAATAATTTACTGTTTGCACTTTCTTTTTCTTCTTTTTCTCTTTGTTTTACTGTGTAAACATACCAAACAAAAGATTGACTACTCCAGCGAAACTATGATTACAGTAGAAAAAAAAGCACAAAATTAGTTACAAGAAAGCAACGATTTCCTTTCTTTTCGCCTCTCTCTCTCTCTCTCTCTTTCTCTCTTTCAGTTGATCTTTCACTCTGACAATAAGGAGTATAAGAAATTCCGAAAAAACGGAAATCAGCGATGATCTTTGAATTTGCTTTTTTCTGAGAAATCAATGACATTATGGTGAAACGAATATTTTTATCTTTTAATCGCTGGTCTCCAGGCATACGGCCTAAAGCTTATCATATCTTTCATCCGCCGCAAATGTCCATCGATGTGTAACACTATCTTGAAACACCTTTCGGTCTTTGAATATGAATGTCTTTTCTGTGAAAACTTTAAAAAACAATTGCTTTCTTTTTGCAGATTGAAATTAATATTATAATTGTTTTTTCAATAGAAACTTAAACATGTCTACGTCTACCAATCCACCAGCTGCCAGCACAACAGAAAAACCTCCGTCACGTGCACAATCAGCTACACATAAAAGTGAAACTACCAAAAATACTGTAACAAGCAATTTGCCTGCTGGCAATCCTCAGATTCCACGTCCTGCTTCTGCTTCTAAAGTTACTTCGAACTCCAATACAACTAACAGTACTACACCACCAGCTACGACACTCACATCTTCAACTGGTGCCGATAAAGACAAGGCCGATGTCGCAACCGAAACCACCAACACCACTCTTGTCGATAAGAATGAACAAATGAAGACGGCGACGACAAAACATGGTGATACAACTACTGCAACAGCCAGTACGTCTGATCCGTCGTCGAATAACGACGATAAAACAAAAACAACTAGACCTGTTTCTTCTTCCATTCAACAACGTCCACCCTCTGCTGCAAACAAGACAAATGAAGACACTAAAACAACAGGATCGCACAGTGAGACAAAAACAGCAACAATGGAAACACGTGTGACAGAAGCACAACTTACAGGCGAACTCGACAATACAAGTGCGACATCCACTACGGCATCTAATCAAGAACAACAGCCACAAGTACCACCTCAGCGTCCGCCGAGTCGTACAGGCTCTGCCGGATCAAAGAAAGCGGCAGCGACAACGGGAGAAGACGACCAAAGAACAATTACTACATTAGACACTGTTGCGTCGGAACTATCAAAAGCTGCGCAACAAAATCCAACTGAACCAGTTATAATTTCACACACAAAGAATTAGTACTATAGAGAAGGTTTTACTTAGAACTGTTTGTATATATCTTTGTGACCGGAGAAAAGAAATGTGACAGTTGTGTTATCTTTTATGTGGACAGAAACACTCAGTTTTGTGCTGTTTCATTTTTTGTTTATTACGGTTCTATAATAATTTTCAATCAACTTTTTTAGCAGTTGAGTGAAACGATCATCGTTCAGCGATTACTTTTTATCAAAGTTAATATGTCGTCTCGACATTGGGATTGCTATTTGTTTTCGTTCAGCTATTTTATAAATTTAAACTTATAGTCTATGTGTGTTGATGAAGTGTACACTGTAAAAATAACTTGTAGATTAAAAAAACTAAAAAGGATTTTCCATTTTGCTTCTATCGGGAACGCTTTTTCGTTTTTTAAAATGCACAATAAACCATCAAAAAACTAGTCAAAAAACCCTTTAGAGTAGATTAATAAACCGAAAAGAGTTTTTTATCGATTATATATCCACACAAAATATACAAAAAACACATAGTTTATTGAAGAGTTTTTAGCAAACGAGTTTATTGGCCAGTTTTTTAGAGGGTTTATTACCCCTAAAAAACTGAAAAGCGTTTCTGATAGAAGCAAAATGAAAAACCGGCAAAAAGAGTTTAATGGCCAGTTTTTTATCGGTTAAGCTCAAAACTCTAACAAAACCAAAACGCGGATCTGAAAGTGTGGCAAAGCAGAAAATTCCCAAAAAGGTTTATTAGTGTATATTTAAATTGCTTAAAAAATTCATAGGAAAGAGATCTTTGCTAGAGTTTTCTATTTGAAATCTGTTTGTGAGTGATTTATTAGCTCAGGACAAATCTGATGTTGACAAAAGAGTCAATCTTCAGGTGATGTAGGAACAGATTCCTAGCTAGCGGAATTTGTTTTTATACTTGATTTTCACGAAGCAGAGAAATTAATGTGAATAGCGGACTTTCTGAAGAGGAGAAAACGTCCTGAGCATTTTAGTTCACTCATAGTGGCAGACTTCTGTTGTTGATTTTGTCCGCTATTTTTAACAAATAATTTCTCAAAGTTGATTTGTGAGAAGGACAGATTGCAAATTCGTTTTCACAGCGTTTATTCTCTTCTTGTTATCCAGCAACAACGCTTTTTCTAATTAAAAAGTAAGCGTAATTTACAGAACGTAAATTTACAGCCCACCTTCTCTCAAATCACCTGCCAGAATTATTTGGTATGGGTTGCGGATTCGATCAACAGCTCTTTAGAAAAAATATTTCCATGGTGCGGCTGTGGTGCAAAGTAGCAGGTCTGAGCGTCAAACTCGCAAAAGGAATTGCGTTCCCAAAAACGTTTTCGCAGCTATTCCGCATAAAAACGCGTGATTTCGCAATCTTACTCGATGAAAAAGAAATAATTCATTTTGTTCGAAAAATCGTCTTTCGAAAAGGTAAAAGATTAAAAAAAACAGTTTTTTAGCTTTGTTTTTGGAGAAAATGAAAATTTCTTATCGTCAAGTCTCAGAAAAAAGAGGAATATTTACATATTGGCTAGAAGTTCGATTGAACATGCAGAAAAACCGTAACTCAGAACCTAACGCTGGAAAGTATACTAAAAGAACGACTTACTAAAAAAACAGAAAAACAATGTTGTGTAAGTTTCGAAGGCTAGTCTTAATCAGATGCATCAATGTAAACTGATCTAGAAAGAAACGGAAAGTATAGTTATTGCTTGCAAGCATTGCCTAAAATGGCAATTGTAAGTTAGAAAATGTGAGCACTCTGCTCACTATTCACTGAATGAAAAACATTTTAAAAGTGAAGACTTAAGGTATTCAAGGTGATTGAGAAGCAGACATGAAAGTAACAGAGTCAGATCCTTACTATTCTTAAAAAGAATATAAAAAGCTTCTCGATGAAGCACCTAAACTCCACAATAAAAACTCGCGAAATGACAGCAACACTTCTACTTAACTCTCATCCTCTGTTTAGTTATTTGTTTTTCGTCCAGTGTTACGCAATGTAAAAAAATCGAACTAGTTTATTGATGAAACTGAAAAACTGTTTGATCTGTCCAAACGTATGGGTAAAACAATGACCGGTTTTTTCTACCTTATGAAAAACCGAATCGGTTTTTTATTAATACCAAAAAAACTAGAACAGTTTTTTTAGTAATTTTAAAAAACTCCCTTTTTATAAATTCATGATAAAAGCGAACTGGCGGTTTTTTGACGACTTCAAAAAACTGGTTGCCAGCTTTTTAATCTCTTTAATAAACTCAAAGAGTTTTTTAATCGACGCTGTATTTAACTAAAAAACTGTCTCCTAAAAAACCCTCGGTTTATTAACTCATGAAAAAACAATTTGGGGATTTTTCATTTTGGTCAAAATACTCAAAATACTTTTTTAGGCATTTCAAAGAACGGTTGCTAGTTTTTTAATCTACGACTTTTTTTTACAGTGTAAGGCAGTACCAGACGTTAGTCTGAAGCAGAGTAGAGGTTGGCGGGCGATGATTTTTTTGATATCGTATCAGTCTACGAAATTTTTCTAAACTTCGGTCGGCGAAAATTGCTTTTTTACAGCACAAAAGAAGTACACTAAGTTATAAAGTAGACATTAGGAAGCTTCCTATACAAAGATGTTGAGTTGATGATACACAGAAAACTTCGTAGCACATTGAATGAGCAAATAAAAAAATGCGAAAAGCATATTTTTGGGTATTACTAAGAACAGTATACAATGCTGCAAATTCTGCTATTAGGTTATTGTTGGATTTTATACTTTCATCTTCTAAAAACGTCGGAAAAATCAAAACAAACTTACGAATCATTGGTGATCAAAAATTTTTTTCTTAAACCCGACCCCCCAATCGCCGAAAAAATTTTATTTTTTCGTTTCCAACTACGTGAGGTTTCTCGTGGGTCTCTGCAACGAATCGTCTACGAAAAATGAAAATAAAAAAAGCGCTGTTCTTCTAAAAAGTTCGAGTTTTCAATTTTGAAAGCTTTGTTCGCGTTTATAACACAAAGTTTTTAAGTCGTTCTGTACAAGTTCAAATAAATGAGTCGGCTCTGACTTAGTGAAAGAAATGGTAGTAAGAAAAATAAATTAATTGCACTGAATAAATTGACAAATTAAGTTAATACAACAAAAAAAAAACAGATTGTAAAAAAGGGCTCGATCAGGATGAAAAAGTATAAAATAATTATAATAATGATTGTTGTGCACAAAATGGCTCAATACTCATTTTTACACACCACGGAGTTAACTCTTCCATTTTGTATTCTAAAATTAAAGCAAGAACAAAGCAGTTGATATTGACATGCATCAACACACTTGATCGACTGGTTCGAAATTGTCTTCTTACTCAAAATATATTTATCGCACTAACTTTTTACTTAAAAAATCGTAATAAGAAAGTGAATTTCCTTCCTCCCTCATGAACTTTTTCGTTGTCAGAGTCACTATGTGATAAGAACTCACCTGTAATAACTGTGTTGCTCTATGATAGGCTGGATTATCTGCTGGTATTCGACGACGAAGTGCTTCAAAACTCGCTCGATTTCTCAGCTCTTTCACTATTGTATCAATGAAAAACATTTATGTAGGATATCACCGAAAATCTGTAGAAATCTAATTTTTACACATTCCCGTCCTGCTTTGTTTATAAGATAGAAAAACAACACAGCAATATGTACAAAATCAGAATGATCGAAATAGAAAAATAGAAAATTCAAGCGGATTTAGTTAATAGATACCTTACTTGCCACATCATAACATTTGAATTTTTCAGATTAGAAGCATCGTTTTTCAGGATCAGGAATCATGGTTAGAAATTGTTTTGCTCTCTCACTTGCCGCAGATTCTCCTTCTACGTTACTTATTGCACGAAAAACCATATCAGGTAGAATTTGCGAAGAAATAATAAGCTTTCTGGTCAGGAGGCCCTGCAATTAAGAAGTACACTGTTTATGCACAATCAATTAAATTGATAGTTCTGTGAATTAGGCAAACAAACCTGATTTAAAGCTGTCTGCGTAAAATCACTGTAATAATGTTTTAATCCATTGTCAATAATTAGTTTGGGATTAGAAATTAACAAGGTACCAGTGATGAACTTTGATTCTAATTTTCTATTCGCTCTAATTACACTTACGAGGGAACCTCCCGAGGTGATAAATTGCTTTTTGATCGAAATCTAGTGGGTTATAGATTATCGACCATGCTGATCCCGAATATGACCAAGGGGATGCCCCATAGCCTTTCGAAGATTCATCCTTCTGAAAAACTAGTTTTTCAAAAACTCTAAAAAATAACCAAAACCTTTCTTAACAAGGTATGATTGTAGCACGCAAATTTCTGATTAAAATGAGACATCTCCCACTTTTACACGATGTTCCTTTGCAAACTTATAGGATTTACCAGAGAAGCTCTAAATTAAGTTTTTGCTTCTTCCTTCTGTAGCTTTTGAGTTAACAATGGATATCCATGGCTTTTCTTGTAAATTCTGTAACTATGCAAAGGAACATCGTGTAGAACTGGGAAATGTCTCATTTTAATCAGAAATTTGCACGCTACAATCATGCTTTGTTAAGAAAGATTTTGGTATAACAATTCTAATTTGCACGATTTTCTACCCTCTAGCTTGTATATAAAGAAAATGATGACCCTTTTTGATTTTTAAATCATCGAACTTAAAAGTTCGATTATTGAAAACATTATTGGTGATAATTTAGGAATACTAGATGCTTCTGTTGAAAGTTCAAAGGGATTATAGAGAAAAGATACTTGCATGAATCTCTACGTTAAAAATTCTTATTCGTTTATTCCTTTGAAGGGTCGTTTTTTATTAAAAAACGGTCTACCTTTGAGCGATTTGCCTGACCAGATTATTCAGAATTCACATTACAAAGAATGTTTTGGAGCACAAAATTTTCTCATAGAAGTTGGTGATAGTGAATTTTTAGGAAAGAAAGTGCGTTATTTTGAAAATAAAAATGAAAACATTAGGATTAGTTCAGTGACAAACAATAAAATTTGGATTGAGCTTGAAAAGCAGACATTTGTTTCAAAAGAGTATGGAAAAGTTGCCACGATTCTTGTTGGAAGATGAGTATATTGAAAATGAGAAAAAACTATTTTACACTCACTGATATGAGAAAGACAAGATATTTATCAAATTATCGAATAAATACTCAAAATTTGAGATAGACTTAAATAGCGAAGAAATTTTTTCTCATGAGTATAGGAAGTTTCTTATTCCATTTACTAACGATGAATTTGAGCAGTTAAACTCTCTGTATACAACATCTCGTTTCGAAGAAGAAAACTATATTTTTGCGTTAAAAGATAAGCAGCAAGGCAGTGCATCTGTCAGTATTTACTTACCTAGACTAAATTTAAAGTTTAAAAATTTTGGACGCAAAAGTCTTATCCGAAGACTTTAAAGATTATCGTTTAAGAAGTGCAGATCAACATATTCATACGTTGCTCCGATTATCTTAATATTTAGTAATAGAATCAGACATTACGAGTGATAGTCCTATTAAATTCAATCGAAAGTCAATTCCTTATCATTCAGTTGAAAAAGATGAACGATTTTTCTTTAACATAATTCGCTTTAACTTAAATAGAGTTGGTAGACCAACGTATTTTTCATATAAAATCGATGAAAATTTACGTTACTTGAATTCTGAAACAACAGTAGGAACTCTATAAAACACCCGTTCAAGTACAATTGAAAGAGATTGCCGTGGTTCAAAAAGAAAATCAATTTTTACTTCAAGACTTTTTTCTAATTCAAATAATTTCTTTCGTATTCTGTCCAATTCATTTTTAGAAATACAGTTCGTTTTTATTTCTGATCCATTGCATTAACTCGAACAGTTAATCACTTTTAACTACACTCAAACCATCTTCTAAGGAAGAAAATATCTTTTCAGATTCGAGTCCTAAAACTTGTAAAACCTCAATACCCTTTTTTTGTTCTCTCATGGAGATGGAAAAGTGTCGCCCGTTAACGATAAAAACGATAAAAATCCAAGGTTTTTGTAAAATCTACAGCTTTGCCCAGAAATGTTTGGGCATTCCATCTAGACGTGCCACATACAGAGGAACAATTGCTGAAAGTTCCATTGAAAACATAGCTTGGATGTGGATGGCGTGCCCACTTTACTGGACGCATGTTTTCGAAAGACATCTCGTGCAGATAAAAATCATATTCTTTCCTTTTCGCAAACCCGTTCGGACAAAAATTCTTTTATGAATCAATAGCTCAAGTGCGCAGCTTTCAGAATATATATGTTACAATTTTTAAGTGACTGCCTGTTTGACAAGAGAAAACGATTTTCGTCGAGTTGTAGCAAAAATTGCAAAAAATTGGGACTTACTCATCTCGACCACTTAAAGCATTTGGATCAAATAGTTTTCACCATTAAATTGGCCATTAGCTAGTGTATATAAAACACTATTTAAATCATTAAAAAAGTAGGTTTCGTTTTTTCACCTAATTTCCATGTGATTGCCCACTGTGCTGTGAGTAGTTCTCAACAGTTCTGCATAGTTCACAGTTCTCAGTGTTTAATATGAATAGTTCTGAATATTGTGCATAGTTCTCATAGTTCTAAATGTGTACTATCAACAATAGATAGTTTTTACTTGGGCTAGATAATTCATCAATGTACGAGTGAATATGCAGCAAAGATTTATCACACAAAGACAATCCTTGTACAGACATTAGACAGAACCGAACAAATTTCACTTATGCAGAAAAATACTGCAAAAGTAATCTTTGATGTTCTGTCGTATATCATGTACAACGCATGTTATGTAAAGTATTGCACAACTTCAATCGTTGTACATGATATATGACAGAACATCAAAGATTACTTTTGCTGTATTTTTCTGCATAAGTGAAATTTGTTCGGTTCTGTCTAATGTCTGTACAAGGATTGTCTTTGTGTGAAATGTTGCATATTCACTCGTACGTTGATGAACTATCAACAGTTCTGAGTAGTTCTGAATGGTTTGCCTAGTTGTCAATGTGTAATGTGAATAGTTCTGAATAGTTGTGCATAGCCCTCATAGGTCTCGATGTGTACTGTGAATATTTCTGAATAGCGTGGCGTTGTTTGATAGTTCTGCATGGTTCTCATAGTTCTCGAAGTGTCTATGAATAGTTCTAAATTGTCCTGTATAGTTCTCATGATGCTCTATGTGTAGTATGAATAGTTCAGAATAGTTCTTAGTAGTTCGCATAGTTCTACGTGTATACTGGGAACAGCGGTAAATTGTTCTGCATAGTTCTCAAAGTGCACAGTGTGTACCGTACACACTGCGCATACAGAACTATTCTTAGGCTATGAATAGTTCTGTATAGTTCTCATAGTTCTCGTTGAGTAATATGAGTAGTCTGAATAGTTCTGAATGTATACTATGAATGAAGGAAAGTTGTCATAGTCTGCATAGTTTTCGTAGCTCTCAATGTGTTATCAATATTTCTGAATGTATCCTGTTAATGAAGGGAAGTTTTCATAGTCTGCATAATGCTGTATTGTAGCCTTTGAATTGACATCTCACGCATAGAAACGTGAGCAAGGGCAAATAACTACTACTGAAAAAGTAATAGAGTGGTATCGGTTTGTTCTCTAATAAGTGAAGAAGCAGAAGTGATAAGGAGCTAAGGCTTTTGCCGCTTTATAGAGGAGACTTTATGCTAACGGCTAGTCAAAGTTTTCAACGTTTGGGCCTTTTTGTAGTAGTAAAAAACAAAACTTATTCAGCATCAGTTTGTTTCCTTCGTGTTGTTTCTGGCTATGTGAATTACGTTAACAATGACAATATTAACAAAGAATTTTTCACATCGTTGTGCAGTAAAAGATGGTATACTGGCAGTCGTCACAGTGGGTAGTGTGAGCAAGGTTGTGTGAATTGGAATAAGAAAACTTAAAGTCAACTAAAGAAAGAGAAAGAAGAAGAGTGTTGGGTATGATACATAGATGTTTAGAAGAGAGGTAAGACGATAAATTCAGAAACAGAAAATGTTGTATTTCCACAGATTTTCTATGTTCTCACTTTGAAAAAATTTTTCTTACATATATTTATATGTTGTTGCGGAACTTTGCACATTTGATTTAAATTTTCCTCTAAGTTATAATATATCTAAGCGCCAATACGAGTGTTACATCTTGGTGAAATACGTTGTGGAAAAGTTTCTTTTTAGCTGTGTCAAAGATCGGATATTAGAGAAAATTGTATTCGACGTATGTTTTTCTTTACAATTACATAATAAACTTGATTGATAACTAAATGTTTTTCCTTCTTCATGTAGATTATTACATTGGGTTCAATAGTTTTCATTAGGCATGGGTTGATTGTATTTGAATAAAAATGTAGATGATTAGTGTCTGACATCTTATACATTAGTTTCAGATGATATAAATGTATATCGTTTCGAAGCGGGAAAACAAACTGACTTTGCTGTTAACTAGAGAAAGTAGTATGTGTTTTGGAAACTCTCCGGAGCATGTCCAATCTTTAGCTATTATTCATAGACGTCAACAGCCGCTTTAGGTTCTGACTAAATTCAAGCAAATAGTGTAGTACGTTTGAATTTTCGGTACCTTGCAAACAGTTAAACAGAAAACCAAAAAGAAACTTTTATGTAGTTCAACTTAAAATTAAAAAATTAACCTTTATTTTAATGGGTAAAATGTTTACAAGAATAACCGATGTTAAACATAACGAAACAACCAGAGTAGTGACAATATGCAAGACACACACGTAAATTAATTATTTCTTGATCATACCTACAATTTGTTTCAACTGTTTCGATTTTAAATTGTTCTCGTAATTATCGCACGCCAATTGCAAGTCAATACTACTGTTCAAAATGTTTTCGAAATCTGATAATACCTTTTCTGGACGTACTAACGGGTTACATTTAGAAATCTCCAATTTAAGGTCAGTCAAACTGGACTTGATATCGTTCAAGCGTTCACTTGACTCTTCGATAAGATCTTGCACTTGCCCAATTTGTCCTTCTATATCTTTAAAAGTTCGTGACCAACTCTTGCTGAGTACGGCCATCTTTGCTCCGCAAATGGCCGAATAGCCGAGTAGGAAAGGGGAAATGGCAGTGAGAACGACACCTAGACCAACACCCAAAAGAGCGCCACCTGCTCCCTTAAGTATTTTAGCCCCCGTTCCCTGTTCTTCGTCGCTGCTGCCGTTTGCACAGATCATTGCTGTCGCTACTGGAGCACCCAATAAACTCACTCCAGGAATAGAGAGAACAGCAGAGATCTTAGCATGTACTTTTAATTCTTCGGCCTGTTTTGCCCGCTCATCATTGCGTTCTTTGGCTTTCTTCGCACAGCGTGCCTGTTCCTCCAAACCTGTACAAACTTTAGCATGTCTGTTTTTGACTCTATCCAGATGATCCATCAAACTCTCAAAATCGGTACCCATATCATTCAGCGCCTCATCAGGTCTGAGCATGTTTCAAATGACGCGCCGCGCAGTGGTCTGCACACTTTGAGCTCGTGTCGATGTTCGTTTGACGAGTGCACGTGTATCGGCTTCGAGATCTCGATATTCAGCAGCGATGTGACGGATAGCATCTTTTACTGCATTCAGTTCGCAACACTCCGACGCGTCTATCTCGCTAAGCAGATTCTTAATTTGCTCATTGACTTCGTTCACAATCTTATGCACTCTGAAGGCATTTTGTGCAAAAGATGCAATGTTGATGTAATGTTCCCTGGCAGGCTTTGACGACCTCATAGACACAGACTGAGCCTAGAAAATGTGCAACCATCACTATAAATCTATCCATACTGTCGGGATTCAAGATTTTTACATTCATCTAAGGTCGTCTAATTTCTGGAAACATCTCCGGTAATAAAATAAACTGAAATTATTGTGAACGAATGATGTAATTGACAAGAGTAAATTGATGCTTTTATGAAGCTATAAAATTAACAGCGTTTTTTTCTTTCAAAGTACAAAAGACACAAAATTCGCAATTTTCGCTCACACCTCATACACACCTTTTTTTTTCCTAATCCATGTTGAAGTCATTGGCAAGACAAAATTCCATAGAAAACATGTACCGCAACTTTCTATAATCCCAATCCAAATACTTGTGTTCAAGAACACAGGCTTGAATCCAGATTTGCAGCTCTCTGGCAATGGTTGAGACGCCGATTTACATGAAGTTTTTATCAAATCTCGTTAATTGTCCGAGAATTAGTGTCCGTCATTTGACAGGACTTGAGCGGATAATGCATGTTTTCAACTCAAGAGAAAGCTATATGGTTTGCATCAGCATCGAATTCTGAGTATACTGACGTATTGTTTTACCAAAATACGATTTTAATTTTTTCGAAAAATTCTAACGAATGGAATGTCCTCCCTCTTGGAAATGTAGAAAAACGTTTTCCTCAGATTTTTTTCAAAGATATATCATTCAGTGCAGAATTTGCGCTGATTCCGAATATCTTCTGGAAAATACATTTTTAAGGAGAAAAATGATTTTCTTTTCCATGGCATGCCTTGATCTGATTGAGGTTTTGATCTACAGCTTCAATAGGGAAAAATTTCAGATGTTAAAAATCTACTGGATACATGTAAAAATAGTTGCTCTTTTCAATATATTGCCAGAAATCCTATTACAGCTCTTTGAAGTATGAAAACCTCAAAAGGATTTGCACGATTATAGAAAATTGCATATTATATTCAACTGTTCTGGCCGTTGCTCTAAAAAGAGATCTTGAAACAAAAAGAAGCAACGATAAGATCTACGTTTATTCTTAAAAGAGGGTTACAAGTCTGGCGTTTCGACTTGATCCACACTTTTCCGGTACTTTTTTGATGCCATTCGATGAGCATTGAAAACCGGATCCACTATTAAAATTTCTTATTGTTTCAAGTTTAGAGCAACGCTCAGAGCAGCTGAATATAGTATGCAATTATCTATAATCGTGATTTTGAGGTTTTGCTACCTTAACGAGCTGTAATAGAATTTCTGACAATATGTTGAGAAGAGCACTATTTCTATTTGTATCCAGTAGATTCTTAACATTTGAAACTTTTCCTTGTTCAAGCTGTAGATCAAAATCTTAATAAGGCCATGATATGCCTTAAGAATTCGATTTTGATTCTAACCATATAATTTCTCTTCAAAATATTGGCGGCCGAAAACATGTCTTATCCGCCCGCAAAACGAGCGTTTCTTAAGTACCAGCATGTTGTGCAAAACACCACGATGATTGAGAAGCGCTTGCGTAGTACTTAGCTCATAAGCCAAGTGTGGGATCACTTAGGTACTTAATTAAGTGCTTTTTCTAGTACAAGTAATTTACCTGTAGAGTCTTTGTCATGCACTTGGAGAAACCGTTGAAGTATCTCCAAGTACTTAACTTCAAAAACATGAACTGGGACAGACAGGTATTGTGAATATGTCAAACTATTTTATGTAACTTTACTTTCGAACTGATATTTTCTTTATTCGGCACATTAATGGTTTTCAATCGTGGAACTACATTGGAAATCGTCTGGTCGATAAACACACAATAGAACACGTGACGTTGCACTTTGTAACGATTGCTCGTTGCGTTTTCTTTCCACTATATTTTCCTGAATCAGCATTGAAACTGATCTAGCAAAAGGTTTTCAGTTCATTTCAGAGGTATACCTCTGAAATGAACTGAAAACCTTTTGCTAGATCAGTTTCAATGCTGATTCAGGAAAATAT